GTATGTATGTATTTATGTATGTATGTATGTATGTATGTATGTATGTATGTATGCATGTATGTATGTGCATATATATATATATATATATATATGTATCTGTGTTAAGATAAGCATTTCTTGTTAATCAAAGAATTTTTTTTGCAGGTTTTTGCACTTGGAACGTTTTACACTGCACGCAGCGGTTGAATGCATTTTTTGATGACACTAAATTTGTTGATAACAATTATGGCATCGCCATATTCATCACCAAGTCCGCCACAATTTCCGATGGAGCGAAAGGTTTGTTACAGAACCTTTTATGGTACTGAATTGGAATTTATGCGACTTTATAGGCCAAAACATTCCTCAATACGATCATAATTTTTCTTCGGGTGTCGAATTTGGTTCTCAGTTTTTACTGAAATTCGCCTCAATTCATTGCTTAGGGCTCCATTAAAAGAAGCTTTTAAGCACACTTCATTATCCACAAGAGGTAACGCACATACATCGAATAGGCGGCGGGTACTGACCGGACGTATACAGACTAGAATCGAAAGGCCTGTCAAAACTGCTACCGGCGTATGAAAGCATTTTAGTAATAACATTAGTAACAACAGGGCTCTGGAAAACATAACATTTTAGTAACTCTATGGAAGCATTTTAGTAATAAAATGGGATTCCCACATTTATTGTGCAAGCGGTTTTGACACAAGCCACAAACTCGAGCCTCAGAAGTTGAGATTCTTGGCTTTTTTCGTTTTTAATCGCCAGCTCGGGCATTGCTAAGTAGCCTATACTTCATATTCTGGCCTAAATCAACGGATTACCGATGAGAATGCCCGTTTGCGGTTTGAAACTGGATACTGATTTTTTCGAAAACGCTAGTAACTTAATCCAAATTCAGCTCGATAATCCAGAAAATCATCAGTAAAGGGAGTCGTAGACTCAGCGTTGCTGATGATCCTGACGTTCGTTGCGTCAGTCTGCTGATGGCGATTCTGACACTCGTTTCGTCTTTTCGTATCGAAATTTTGCTTGAAATATAAAAAAGAATATGCGGGCGTGAACTCTAACTAAATGCTAATTTAACGGTCAAAACTGTCAGAAATCCTTCAAATGGAATCAAAACAAAAAAAAAAGAAAATTGGACAAAATTCAGGGCATGAAATGATTTTAGCTAAAAAAGCCATTGATGGAAAAGCGTCGACGTGCTCGTATGAACGAATGTCTGGAACAGCTGAAGCAACTGTTGTTACATATTTTGCCAAATCATCGTACGAAACTGGAAAAAGCGGATATCCTGGAAATGACTGTTGCCTACCTCAACCAGATACAGCACACGCAATCACCTTCAACCTCATTTGGTAAGCCTGACAATCTGTGGCATTATTTATATTTACCGAAACACAAGATTTACGTAACTTAGAAATAGCTTTGAATTCGTGACACTGTTCGACCGATAGTTTCTGGATGTCATTCGAAATCTTCGGGGCTTCCGGATGTTATTCCAAGTCTTCTGACATTACACCAAATATGTCAGCCATTTCTGAATAGCCACTGCTGTTTTTTCTGCAGCTGATGTATTTCTGACCCTGGATCCTGGTTCTTTTCGTGTTATTGTTGGTCAATCCGATTAACTCAGGGCATTAGCCATGCCAATCGTGCTGTTCAGTTGACAGCTATGATATATAGGTTGGCCTTCGACAACAACCGCACTCAAATCAATTAAAATTTAGACTGCTGCATAATCATTGACGACGCGCACCGGGCGGGCCAATCATGCGTTTTTGCAACATTTTGTGGTATAATGACTGTAGCTCGGGAACACAGTAGCTAAAAATGTGTGATATACTGGTCCTCGAAGTCCGGGAAGCTAATTGTCCATGCGGTATTTGAACAGGAAACATAGCTTTCCAAATTTTTTGGATCTTGAGTTAGCAATTTTCCTGCCATAAACTTTCACGGGGCCGTACGTGACAATCACTCACTCCCGGAGGATGAGTTTGACAAATTTAAGTCGTACATGGGCTGGAAACATTCCCTGAGAATTTCAGCCTCCCAGCTTTCCTGGTTCCCATGTTAGCGATTTTAACTTTCACTCCCTCGTACGTGAGGCCCAGGCTTGCGTAAGGGTAGGTACCGCGGTGCTGGGGTGGCACTTAGCCGGGGAACCCACCGGCAAAATTTTGGCGCCGGGACTTGCTTGGGTGCCGATTTGAAATATGCGGACAGACACACACATGCACACAGAGATCGTCGCAGTATGCGTTTTCGCATTTGCATATATGCAAAAAAACATAAAAATGCGGTAGAATAATAATAATAATAATAATAATAATAATAATAATAATAATAATAATAATAAT